AATATCCCCTCTAACCCTGCCCTCTGGCAGTGGGAAGCCATTCTCCCCTTGTCCTGTCCCTCTGGGCCCTTGTAAAAGTCCCTCTCCAGCTCTCCAGTCATTCCTACCCCCACACACCTCACTTACAGGAGAGCTACTTATGCAAATAATTCAGTCATTTCTGCCTGAAGTCTGTGAACAATCATGTTCATACAAAACTATTGATATCTATAAAGAAACTTATGAAAAATCATGAAGAACTTGTGGGTTCTGGTGCCTGCCCAGCCTCCCTGCGGGGAGAAAAACCCTTTGGGACTCCCTGCAATTCATCTTCTCACCTTCTCAGTGTCTGCCTTGACACCAGAACAAAATGCCTCTTCCTTTGGGAGACGTGTGTGAGAAAGGGCATTTATGGGTCACAGAGGGTTTTTAACACCCTCCTGTGGGACAGGGCTGATAGTGGAGTGCCCAGGAATGTGGCTGAAGCAGGATTAGGGCAGAGATCCTGGGATAAATATCTTTGCCCAATGTTTCCCCTTAAAAAATGAGCGAGTCCCTTCAGTTCCCCCCTGCTTTTGCTGTGTCACCGTTCAGACGGTGCTTCCCATGCCAAGAACAGGCTCTGCCCAGATGAGTCCTGCTCTGCAGGCACCCAAACCCACCCAAAACTCCGCGTGTGCAGAGCACTGATCGATCCTCGCATCCACAAAACGATGAAGTCTCTGCCCTTGGCAGGATTGGACCCCCCCAAACTGCAGCGTGGGCGGCGCAGGGAGGGAGAGAAGTGAATAAACAAGGTCTGGACAGGCCTTGATAGCAAAATGTTTATCTCAAACCTGCCCCCACCCAGCTGGCTGCTGGGCCAGTGTGACTCAGCTGATTTTGGGTGGGTTTGATGCCAGCGATGAGCCAGGGAAGATTAAAGTCTTCAATTTGTTTATCCTCCTCCCCCAACAATATGAATCCTCCCAATTCCCCTTGCCTGGGAGAGACACGCAGGTTTCACATAAAATTCTGAGTAGTTCCTCAGTGCAAACTCCCCAGCGTGTGACCACGGGGGTGGCAGGGCCGGATCAACCCCATATCCCCAAAGCACAGTTCCCAGAGGCAAATCCCACACAAACCACCGAGCCCACACGCGACAGGGGCGGGGGGTATTTTCTGGGACCCCGCTCCCTCTGACACCCCAGCCCCGTGCCCGTGTCCCCCCAGCCCTCCAGCCCCTCAGGGACACACAGACTCGGCGGAGGCTTCACAGGATGAGCTTTATTTGCTGTTGGAAGTGGCTCCGGGGGCAGCGGGCGCGGGGCGCGGGGCTGCCGGGGCCTTCCTGCGCTGCTCAGTGGTACTTGCGGGCCAGGGCGTGGGCCACCACACGCACCAGCTTCTGCCAGGCAGCCTGGCAGTCGGGGGTGAAATCCTTGCCGAAGTGGGCGGCCAGGACGATGATCAGGATGTCACCCAGGAGCTGGGGGGACAAGAGCACACTCGGGTCAGCAATGCCCCGCACAAGCACTCACGTTACACCCAGGGCAGCCTCCAGGAAATCTGCAGCCTCGAAAACCTCCCTGAAGTCCTTTTTAAGATGCCCCTTAAACCTGGTCTCTGCTCTTACTCTAAAGGTTCGGGTTCTGATGCCCTCTGAGAAGAGTAACTGAAAATTCTCCAGGAATTTTGTTGATTAAATTTTTCTTTCTCCCTTCAGTCTCTGTTTGGGAGTTTTTCCCAAGCAGAAGACCCAGTTGAGC